AATTAGTTTAGAAACTTTATATATTTTAATTGCAAATATTTTACCAATTGCTTCTTTAAAAACATTAGGGAACTTGCTATACTCTACCAATCAAGCCCAGTGACACTCCATTTATTTTCCATCACTCGAACACTGAAAAGTAAAAAGATATATGAAATCAGATCCATTAAATTCTAAGATTTGATTTACATTTCTAATTGTTTTTGATCATACATATAGATAATTATATAAAAATTTCAAAATTCTAAAATTTCAAATACATACAAAAACAATCATATGTAAATTTTAAATTTGTGAATATTAAAATTTTATATTTTAATTACATATATTCACCCTGCGCAAGGCGCAGGTCTTATCCTAGTCTAGTACTATAAAGTAGCATTTTCTTCATGCCACCTCACTAATTCAATTCATCAGGAATTGACACGTGTCTCTGGTCGAGATTTCTTTCGTTTAGCGTCCATTTAATTGGGCTACTATCTGGGCTTTTATTTCGTTATTATGTTTTGCTGATGTCGAAATCCAGCCCAAAAGAGATAGATTGGTATCTTCTTCGTAAAAGTCGATATTCAAGCTCATGGTTTTCTTCTGCATCGATCTCTTCCGATTACACCAACAATGGAGTTTTGGGATGCCGAGTGAGACGAATCGTCATGTAAAACTGTAAGTTTCGATTGCATCGTTTCGTTCTACTCCCTCAAAATGTTACGTGGTATTGAATCGTCGAATGACTTCAATAAAGATTTCACATTCAATGCTGCTTCTCTTGTTAGTATTTGTGTTCAATTGATTTGTTTTCATTTTAGATATCAATTTTTTTTGTTCTCGCCCCGTTGTGATTTCTTTTTGTTCACAGTGATTAGGGAGCAGTTTGATTTGATTTCTATCCGTGACAGTATCAATGGTGGGCGCCTGGTATCAACATGGATGAAGGAGGAGTTTCCGAGATCAGAATGGGTATGTTGATTTCATTTTGATCTGTAGATACCAAATCACATTCTCTCTAAAACGTTGGTTGACTAACGGATGGTGTAGATGGTGTTCTTCATTGATCACATATCAATTCTTTTCTGTACCTGATTTTACGGGATAGTTACGGTATTATCTTTGTAAAAGACTGATTTTAGAATTCTTGCATTGTCTAGATTACAAAACTGTCTCATGTGTTGCAGGTCTCTTGGTCATCACTGCAAAAGTAAAGGTATAAATAAAAATTGATAACGAGACAAGCGTTGCAAAAACTGATTTGAGAATTATCAAATTATCTTTTTCAGAATTACTTTACTGACTTTAAAGATTTATTGAACTGTTTATGTACCAGGGTCTAGCTTACCAGATTGTTAGTAATCCCTTAGGAGATGGATCTATGAGACATGGTCAGGTCCTGGAGGTTAATGGGAAGAAAACAATTGGCCAGGTTAATGATTCTTATGTTTTACTCTTAACTTTATGTCTGGTGTGGAGCCACAGGTTATCGTGTCTTCTAATTTTAATCCTAATTTGGTTGCAGGTAGAGGAGTTCCCAAAGGTTAACATAACAAAGACTGCATGGTTGATTGTTCTCAATCATTCATCATGGTACAACAGCTACGAATGAGAGTCATGTATGAGCAGTGGTTCGTCAATAACAAAGTAGATGTTTTTTTCTCAAGTCATGTCCACGCATACGAGAGGTCAGTAACACAAAACTTTAACTCAGTATGTATCCTTTTAAACTACAGATTTTGACCCAAAAAAAAAAAAAACTATAGATTGTGACAACTTTTTGAGCTTCCGTGAAACCCATAACGCATAACGAACATAGCAAACACCTGGTTAATGGCATTTCCAGTCCACTAAAAGATCAATCTGCTCCTGTCATTATTACCGTTGGTGATGGAGGAAACAATGAAGGAGTGGCTACCAAGTAATCTTATATAATAAAGGATCTATGATCATTGCAAACCAACTTTTTATTAGATTTTAGATGTGTGATATGATGAAAGATCTATGATCATTGCAAACCAACTTTTTATTAGATTTTAGATGTGTGATATGATTTCTGCAGAATGACAGAGCCTAAGTACTCTGCCACAGAGAAACAAGCTTTGGAGACACTATAATCTCGATAGAGAAATGGACGCATGTGCAGTATGGATGGCACATGAACAAGTTACGTCGTCGAGGTTGACACCATGTGGTTTTACAACAGGTTATGGCATCCTGATGATTATTTTCCTTTTTTGGATTTTTTTAGAACCTCAGAATCCAACTTGTGTTGTTGTATGCATCATTTATTGAATAACGATGAATAAACGCAAAGGGAGTTAGTCTTTGACGTCCTTGAGTAAGTCAAAGGATAATCAGACACAAAGTGTTGAAGAAGTCATAGGCCTTACGATCCACTGCAAAGTTACATTTTACTCTTGGGTCTTCATGTTAAGGTGATGGCAAGAGCATGAGCGTCACATTAGAGTATGATTTTAGACAAGTTTTGTTTCCCTAAGAACCTTCTTGGTTGTTATCAAACAAGTTCCAGTTTTTTTTGATAAACTGATAATCACCTTTTTTGTATATATGATAAACTGATATGAACTTTTAATCTCATGCATATCATTAGTTAAGTATCTTCATTAATTTGAAGTTACTACATTGGAAAACTTATTAGATTATATTTACTACATAATACTAAAGTAAACAATTGAAACAAAAATATTAAAAGTTGATAAGTTTCAAGAAAATTCACATATACCAACAAAAAAAATTATGTTTTAGCTGACTTCTTAATAAAGAGGACATGTTATGGTAACCAAATAACAAAAGTCACAAGCAAAAGTTATAAAACTATTACTCATTCATTCATTGGATGCATTTTACGAGTGTTACAAATTTAAGCAAATAATACTTTTCAGAAATAAATATAACTAGAACTTGACCCGCACCCTGTTTGATTTAACTTGTGTTTAACGTAAATTCATAAACCGTTGGTTTTTACAAAATTATTTTTATGTTTTGTAATATACATATAAAGTAAAATATACTATTTTATAATATAAATATTTAATAATAATTTTTATTTGTACATAGTAGTATATTAGAAATTTTATAACTTGATGCAATTTGATGTAATTGTACTATTCATATACTAACATGTTGTTTTTTTGCTAATTTATTTTAAAATAAAACAACATATTAAATATTATTATTTTTTGAATTAGTTTTCTATAAATTATCATTAATTTTATGATATTTTTTTAAATTGAACTCACACAATTTTATATTTGACTAAATTAAATAAGGTAATATTATAAAATAATGTATATTATATATTTCGGTTTTTGTTTTTATTTTCATCACGGAGAAAGAAAAATCATTGAAATTAATTAACTTAAACTGATTTTAACTGCAATGACATAATCTGTAAATAAAAAGAAATACAAAAGGAAAGTATTTAATTTATGTAAATACAATGGCTAAATGTACAAATAAAAGAAAATACTTAATCTACTATCCATGTTTCCAAACAATGTTTCATTTATTTTGTTATCCTTATTTCCAAACAGTACCAAAAGGTATTTCAGTTTTAATAATATAGATAGTTAAGAGTATTAGTCACTCTTTTCCAAAGTTTAAGTTAATCAAAAATACGTATGATATCTATTTTAGATCTACACATTATAAAATTATTAATTATAATATATATACATATACACCGTCAGTTTAAAGGGCCAAATAAACATGATAGACTCCCTTTAATTACTACTAGATTTTGACCCGCGTCTAAAAACGCGGAAATTTTTTTATGATTAAAATTTATAATTTTGGGTTTTGTCTTAATATAAATAATATTTTGGAATAAAATCAATTCACCAAAATTTGTAGTGATGATTGTTTTTATTAATTTTTAGTTTTAGTTTTTATTTTTAGATTTTGTTTTAGATTTTTTTTTTAGATTTTGGTTTTTGGTTTCTATTTTTTATTTTCAGTTTTTGGATTGGGTTTTAATTTTTAGACCCGCTGAGTTAGTTTGAACTTATATTACCAACAAAAAAATCTCAAACTATCGAACATCTAATGTAAAACTAAAAAGATGACAAAATTTTTTTTAAAGAAATTTGCAGTAGTTTATTTTGTAAATAAACAAAATGAAAAAAATATAACCTGCTTTTGCAATTTTAGTTTTTAGATTTGGTTTTTGGTTTTGCTTTAGATTTTATTTTTAAAATCAGAAAATTATTCAAGAGAAAGAAAACAATAATTAAGTTAAAAGTCACCAGTGAAATTTATCATAACAAAGTGATTGTTATTTAAAATAAAAAATACATTAGCATGTTTTAAATTACATAATTTAAATAAATGATTAATAATAGACAATTTTGTTTTGTTAAAAATATTAAATATCTTTTGGGCTTGAAAATAATAACTGATTTTTTGATCCATTAAGGTAGAAAATTTATTCAATATTTTTTGGAGTTTTTCCTTAATACAAAGCCCAAAAACCAAACTAATTAAATAAGTGATTAATACTCCCTCCGTTTCATATTAAGTGTCGTTGTAGATAATTTTTTACGTTATAAAATAAGTGTCGTTTTCGATTTTCAATGCAAAATTTATTAACTTTAGGTGTAATTTGTTTTTCTATTGGTTAAAATATGGTTAGGTGTATGGGTAATTATGTTTTTATATAGGAAATATGTAAAATTAATTGTTTCCTTAATCCGTGTGCACAGCTGTAGAGTGACACTTATAATAAAACAGAGGGAGTAATAACTAATTTTGTTTTGCTAAAAATATTTAATATTTTTGGGTCTGAAAATAGTAATTGATTTTTTGATCCATTAAGGTGAAAAGTTTATTCAATGTTTTTTTTGGAGTTTCTCTTTAATACGAAGGCCAAAAACCAAACTATATAATTTGACATAAAAATAAAAATAAACCCAAAACTCTATTCCATAAATAACCGCCGGTTTAATTTAATGCGGTTTAATTAACTATATGATATATATTATTTGTAACACTCTAGAAGGATCCAAATTTAAATGACAACTTGTAGCAGTAGATAAAAAGAATGACTCTATTTTAATAGAGTAGATTAAAAATAATTTTGGCCGGAGAATAGCAAACTATTCCTAAAAATTTAAAACGCATGAAAATAAACCAAAACAATAAAACTTCAAAGATCAACACATTTACAAAAATTTGTCTAAACTAAGTAGTAAATAAGACATACAAATTTATACACAAGTTTTATACTATTTCACTATATATAAATAAGAAATTCAGATTAACCATTTCAGAATAAACAAAAAGACAACAATAAGAATTAGTACCCTTGACAACTAAGGGCTAAATTATAAACCAAACAAATAATTTTAGTAATATACTTATTGTAAACATTCATGCATTTCACAGTGAAATAAGGAAAATTACAAATTCATGATATATTTCATTAATCTCGATAAAGAAGGAGGATATTTAGTTATTTACACATAAGAAAACAAAACTAATGGCAATATGGCATATATTCTTAGGCACCACAAACACCATTGTTTCTTCAACTATTCTTATCAGGTACATGAAAATCTTCTTAATTGTTGGATAAGTATATTATTATTAAGAATAACAAAAAGAATAAACTTATCATTTTAAAATACTCATTAAAGTTTAAGCATCCTATTTCTTGCTCACTTCCTCACCTACATGTTGTACAATTTGTTTTGCAGTGTAACGCTAAGACAGGTACATAGTATAAACGATCACACTGTAAATTTATTATTTTCAGCTATTATGTATACGAAGGTTAGGATGATGATGTGTTTCCACTAACAAAAGTTATAACTTTAACAGATGATAATAATCAAAACAATGCATGCGTTTGATAACAAATAACGCCAAAACATAACAAAAACATCAGCAAATATCAAATTTTAAACTGCATTGTAAAACCTATTTTTGAGTAATTTTGATCCATAAAATAAAACCTTCTTTAAAATAAAACAAATAATTACATTGAAAATTTTTAACAATCATTTACAAAAAAAAATATGTTAAATTACAACTGTTAAAATAAAGAAACAAATAGAAGAAAAAAACAAAATCTTTAGTAAACAATATAACCGAACTTTAAAAGTCGTAGATGCATTCTGCATCGAATGTATCTTTTTTTACAGTTAGACAACGATTTTAACAAATTGAAATATTTGAAATGAAATTTACTAAAATATACACTTAACTGTTAGTTTATAATATTAAAAAATAGATTTACACTATCAAAAATTTAATCATGTAATGTCAATCCAATCTTACAAACTATAATCATTAGAACCACATGGGCACTCCCCAGATTATAGCAACCTAAAATTAACCTACCAATTATGGATAGAAAAAAACATACAACAAGAACACCACCTAAACCTTATACATAAACCTTGCACACTTTAACATTATTTAAAACCATAAACGTTAATATATATATAGTTCTTTCAATACACAAACAAAATATACAATTATATAGCTACATACAACACACATAAAGCATATCCCGCGCGTAGCGCAGACCGACCTTAGTTACTTATGAAACTCTTACTTGCATTAACTACAATGGTTTTGTCAATCGTTATCTTTCTCTATTTAATTTAACAATCTTTTTCTTCTGTTTTTAATTATAAGTTTAATTATAAAATATATTATATATATAAATAATTTGATTGAAAATTTTGTTTAAGAGACTGTATTATAAAAAAATTAAGTCTTTTTACAGAAACCATATTACAAAATTGCTTTTTTATTGGTTTGCAAAATATACTTTAAAGTCATAATAGATTTAACTATAGAAAAATATAGATTGATCACGTATGTATATGGCTTCCTAATTTTGTGAAAATTCATTCGGTACGTTGTGGTTAAGAGGGACCAAAGTAATAGTGATTTTGGCTATCAGTTTGTTACTACCGTATATACAGTAGTAATTTATAACAGGAGCATTGCCATTTGATTTTATGTTCTGTTTTTATTTCTGCTGCTATTCTTTAGTTTCGAAGAAGTCATACTACTGTTACCTCTTCCATTTTAACCTCTGTCACCGTAGTCATCAGCAATGAAGAATATAGGCCATTGCTTATTAGTAGATCTTAAGATTTTTTAGTGTAAATCGTTTCTCTTGATATTTGATGGTGTAGTTAAGTGTATATTTTCTCAGGATGTTTCTAAACTCCTACAATAGATAA